CTAGTTTTTTTCTGTTTGAAAAATATTTTGAACCTGAAATTCATGCTTTCTGGGCAATCAGTGTTAGCTAGATATAAGCTTTGTATAAGAATTATGTAACTGTCTATGAGAAAATATGTTCATGACTGCTGTGCATCATACGGAACTCAAAGTTAGTATGCTAGTGTACTTTTTACTACAAGGCTATTACAGCTGCTTTCTCAGGAAAAAGGGCCGGGAGCACAAAATCCTGAATGAATGCTGTGGTGTGTTGACCTCAGCTGTCTGCAGGCACATACCTGGCTGCTCTCTCACTTCCCCTTCTCATCAGAAAAAAAGGAAGAAAATATGATGAAAGATATTTACTGAAGATTACTGAAAGACAGGGAGATCATTTATCACTTGGGAAAAAAGAAACTGGCTTGATAAAAATTTATTTAGTTTATTGTAAATTAAAATAGGCTGTGTAGTCAGAAACAAGGACAAAAATTAAAACAACACCTTTCCTCCCCACACACTTTATTCAGGATCAGTTAGAACTTTGTTCTTCACTATTTTGCCTTTCCCTTCCTCCACGCTAAGAGGAGCAAAAGGAATGGGAACTGGGATTTGCAGTCAGTACATAAAGGTTCATATCTGCCAGTCATTATTCTTCCTACTTTTCCTCAGTTCCAGTGTGGGTTCTGCAGGGGAAGAAGGCCAGTCTGACTAAAGAAAGAACTTTGGCTTGAACTCAGGAGAAAAACGAGAGTGTATCAACTTTGGACAAAGAGCAGGCAACCTGGGAAGACTCTAAGGCTGTCATGAGTTTTTATAAACTCAGAAGGTCCAAAGCCCAGCAAGAATTTGCTCTGGTCTTTGCCATAAAATACAATGAAAAACGTTTTTACAAATACAACAGCAACAAAAGCACAGCTAGGGAGTATCTTCATCATTTACTGTCTGTTTGGGGAAAAACAGTGATAAAGGATGAGGAAAAGGCTGAGAAACAATGCCTTCTTTGCCTCAATCTTTAGGAGCAAGACTAGTTATCCTCAGGATACCCAGCCTCATGAACTGGAAGAAAGGAACAGGGAGCAGAATAAAGCTCTTATAATCCAAGAGGACATGCTGCACCATTTAGACAAACAAAAGTCCATGGGATCAGATGGGATCCAACCAGGAGTACTGGGGAGTTGTGAAAGTGATCACCAAGCCACCTTCCATAATTTAGCAGCACTCCTGATTAGCTGGAGAGGTCCCAGTTGACTGGAAATTAACAAATATTAGACCTGTCTACAAAAGTTAGAAGATGGATTGATCTGACCTATTGGCCTCAGTTCCAGGGAAGATCATGGACCAGATCATCTTGAGTGCCATGCCATGGCACATACACAGTAATCAGGGGATTAGGCTCAGACAGCATGAGTTTGTGAAAGGCTCATCCTGCTTGACCAAACTGATCTTCTATGAGAGGTTTACCTACTTAGTGGCCAAGGCACAGGTTGTGGATGTTGTCTGCCTCAATTTTAGTAAAGTTTTTGACTCCCTTTCCTGGAAAAAACTGTCTGCTTATGGCTTGGATGTTCGTATTCTTCACTGGATGAAAAGCAGGCTAGATGTCCAGAAAAGGATCTGGGGGTGCTGGTTGACGGCCACGAGACATGAGCCAACATAGTGTCCAAATAGTCTAAAAGGCCAAAGGCATTCTTGCCTGTATCAGGAATAACGTGACCATCAGGGCCAAGGCAGGGTTCAAAACTCCCTGTAGTTGGCACTGGCAAGGCCACACCTTTAATCCTGAGTTCTGGGCCCCACACTGCAAGAAAGACATTGAGGTGGAGGGTCTGGAGCACAAATCCTGTGAGGAGAAGAAGAGGGACCTGGACGTGTTTATCCTAGAGAAAGGAGACTCAGGCAGGATCTTCTCACTCTCTACAACTACCTGAAAGGAGGTTGTAGCCACGTGGATGCTGCTCTCTTCTCCCACATAACCAGTGACAGGATCAGAGGAAATGGCCTTAAGTTGCCCCAGGGGAAGTTTAGATTGCATAGTAGGAAAAATTTCTTCATGGAAAGGGTTATCAAAAATTGGAAAAGGGGCATTGTCAGGCATTCAAGGAGTGGTGGTATCACTATCCCTGGAAATGTTCAAAAGGTGTGTGGATACTGTTTAGTGGTCAACAAGACAGTGCTGGGTTAATGGTTGGACTTCATGATCTTAGAGGTCTTTTCCAACCTAAACAATTCTATGATCCTATAGTTCTGTATATACATGGATTTCACTCTTATGTGCAGTTTCTAAATATTCCTTATGGCTTCAAAGTTTACTTCATAAATCTCTCAATTCTTATCAAATGCTACCTCAATTCAAGAGCCAGATGAAGGTAGAATCCTAAATTCATCACTGAAAATTATGTCTGCTTCTTGACTCTCAGTTTTTGGATCCCTTGGTGAACAAATAATAAAGTGATGGACATTTCAGCAATCCTAGCTGACAGACCTACACTGACGTGGGAAATCAAATTTTCAGTTTGCACTGCTTCAAATATATCAAGTAATCAGCTTATTCTTTCTGAAGAAAACCAAAGTAATCGTATACACAAGTGATTTTTTCACTGGACCAAAGACCTGATGCTACTTCCAACACCAACTGTTTTACAATGCAATTCTGAATTCTCAACTTAGTTTGATTTACTTCAACCTGAGAGGATGGTAAATCCCTAGATTTTTCTATAGAATATGCAATTTTGTTAAGCATTCTCTGAATATCACAGAATAAGATAAGACGTATAAAGATTTTTTTTTCCCTCTGCCTTAGATGTTCCTTGTGAAGTGTATGAAATGTTTGTTTCAACACAGTAAGAATCTTTCTAAGGGCTAAAGTAAAACTCCATCTGTCATTGCCTCTTTTGACATTAAGAGTTTATTGAGTCACTTCCTAAGGGCTTTCTGTACAGATAAATCCAGACACCTTTATGCAGTATTTCTAGATGATTAAGATTCTCTATGAATTTGTGCCTACTTTGTCCTTCTTTCTGCACTTCCTGTGTTCAGGCTGCCTTTTATGTTACTATCTACTCTTTGACAGGTGATGCAACTTAACTTGCAAAACAAGTTATTTACCCCAAAATGACAGCCCAATTATAACTCCAAAAGTTGAAACTTGTAAAAGCTGGAATGTGTTTTCTTCATAATGCTTTTTTCATGAACAACTTTAATTTAAAGTCTACACTTTCTGCAAATATCAGCTATAACTTTCTCATCTGAAAAATAGCTGACAAATTAGCAGTTAAAGTGTCATATACTTCAGAGAACACATGGCAGTTATTAAAATTCATAAGAACTTCACAGTGGTCACAGATCATGTGTCTTTCATCTATGCAGTGCTCTGCAAAATTTTCATCAGACATTAAGAGTAGCACTTCTTCAATCCTCTCTGCTCAGAGCATATGCTTTCTACCTGACTTCTGGAAAGTGATCCTGTATAGGCTTCTGTGACTCATTGTAAAGCTCAGTGGGGACATGAGGCAAAAAATTGAACTTCTAGCATGCTCTGAGTTCTTAATGAACTAGCAGCAACAGCCTGTGTGCTTATCAAAGTGCAATGTTTTCTCTTCCTGGCTTAATCAATTTGTGTGTTAATGTTCCTTGCTGACCTGCCAACCTAGCATCTGTCTGGTACACTCACCTTCCATTGCAATAATCTAATCTATAAGTACAAAAGTACAAAAGGCCATTGAAACCCTGACACAAAGGGAATTTATGTTAGCTTTTTATACAATGCAAAAGTAAAATAGCAGTAGCTGAGAGAGAAGGCTATGAAATACTGCATGAGTAAAAAGTTTTATTTAGGACTCTGCAGTATTATATCACAATTAATACCTGGTTTGGTGGTTATGAATCTGCTGACATAAGATCTGTCTGGTGTCATGTGTGTAACAGATTATTCATTTTTTAGTTTCATAGACCTTTTTATTAAATCTTGTAATTATCTACAGGAGGAATACTTTATTGCTAGCTTCATATATGTAAAGAAAAAATTTTGATACAGAGGCTTTACTGTGGAAAATATTAATTTCTCTTTTGAAAGCAGTAGGAAAAGGAGATACCAGATACCAGTATTTCTTCTAGTTATTTTTTATTGTTGTTGCTTGTAGCATATTGGCTAATGAAGCTCTCATTCTTTTTGTTTCTCTGGAAATATTTGGCCGAGTGTATTGCACCAGCAAGAATGTCAACACTTCAAAATCACCAGTGACTCTCCCAAAAAGGATGTTTTATGCTGATTTCTTCAATCCGAATTAGTAGCATTCCTATTATGCATGGTTTGATTCTTTTTTTTTGTGAGATTTTCCCTAACATATTCCCCAATTATTATCAATTTCAGGATGAATTGAATTGACATGAATATGTATTCCTCATTTACAAGCATCAAAGAAAATAATTGCATGTTTGCCTTAGTTTTCCCTTCCTTCCTTCCTTCCTTCCTTCCTTCCTTCCTTCCTTCCTTCCTTCCTTCCTTCCTTCCTTCCTTCCTTCCTTCCTTCCTTCCTTCCTTCCTTCCTTCCTTCCTTCCTTCCTTCCTTCCTTCCTTCCTTCCTTCCTTCCTTCCTTCCTTCCTTCCTTCCTTCCTTCCTTCCTTCCTTCCTTCCTTCCTTCCTTCCTTCCTCCTTCCTCCCTTCCTCCCTTCCTCCCTTCCTCCCTTCCTCCCTTCCTCCCTTCCTCCCTTCCTCCTTCCTCCCTTCCTCCCTTCCTCCCTTCCTCCCATCCTTCCTTCCTTCCTTCCTTCCTTCCTTCCTTCCTTCCTTCCTTCCTTCCTTCCTTTTTTCCCTCCTTCTTTCCTTCCTTGCTTGCTTCCTCCCTTCCTCCCTTGCTCCCTCAGTCTCTCCCTCTCTTCCTCCCTCCCTCTCTCCCTCCATTTTTGTGTGCACCTACTAATAGTCTTAGCTTTGGTGGCATTACAATATATTTCCTCTTAGAAGACTTTGGAAAGACTTTGGTTATGCCAACCCTGGTTTCATCTTCATTTTTTTTTCATACCAAGTCCATTTGCTATCATTCTTAAGTGGTATTTATTTTACTTCTTAGCATCTCATTTTCTTCTACTGTATTTATATTTTTAATTGTTGCTTTCACTTTAGAACTGACACAGGATTGGATTTTAGGGAAATTAGCATATATATATATGCTCTATTTTTTATTAAAATTAATACTAATTTATTTTTTCCCTACAAAAGAGTAAAAGATAAGGCCTCTAGAAAGAACGCTCACAGTCATTGTCTTTCAGATATCGTTTTAGTATGCATTTGTGAACCAACTTGTGAAAATAATTTTTGGGTTAATTAATAGAGAAAGTTTAAGAATATATAACCAAAACATATTCCTATATTGGAGTGTTGCATATTATGACATAAATAAGTGATTTGTAGTTTTGCTTTATCTAGCAAAAATAAACTATAGCAGGAAAATCAGTCATCAGAAAGGAGCTCTCTTTTTTCTCCCTATGTTTATTTTTTTTTTCTAAATATGCAAGCTAATTAAAAAAAGTTATAAGGGGTATAATCTGTCTTTGCAGGACTTCACTATTAAATACAGGGAATTTATGCTAAATGCATAATGTCTATTAGCTGTATTCTGAACCCTTACTGGACTTTCATTAAGTCCAGTCCTTAATTTCATTAAGGAGCAATTCATGAAAGATTAGAAGGAATAAAATGTGAGAGATGTGGTGACTAAAAATATTTGACCCTCTTCCATGGAAATACAAAAGCTAGCTGAGGACAAAAAGTTACCAAGCAACCTAGGAAAAAGGATTTATGGTTATCTAAAGATAAAGCCTTAAGGAATCCCACAGCAATTATTTTTTAAGCAAATTGAAATGCTGAATTGTCAAAGAGGTCAATACCGATAAAACCCAACACTAATTGTGCATCATTTTACTGATGCTGGCAGTCAATATCAAAGGAAATTTAGTAGAAAATTAGTAGAATTTTTACATTTTATGTCTAGGAGTATATCATTCATGTAGCCAAAGTGTCCCCTTTCTGAATATTCTTCTCAATGCAAGTCTTAAATATATAAAACATTAAATATTTATAGAATGAACATTTCATTTTTTTAAGAAACTGCAAAAATTTGCTCCTCCTAGCAACAGTAAACTATTCTGTGTTTTAATACTAGCCATGGATTTAACAAAATTAGCAAAAAAATATTACAGAGAGAACATTTATTTACCATCTACCACATCTCACCAAAAATAATAATATTGGAAGAAGACTCTGTAAACCTTCTATACCAAAATCTTGCTTGGACATGGATATATCCAAATGTAATATCGTAGAAGAAAAGATGAATTATATAATTGATTTGGTAAGCATCTTGATATGAGGAAGATCTCAAGAACAACAGAACAATATAAAATAGAACAATAGAAAACAGAATAATAGAAACTACACCTTAGGCTCAGTCTAAGGATGATACCCCGGCAACCTCTCACTGGATAATATTCTAAAAGTCTGTGTTGCTGGTATTTAATTTCCCATATTTTAAATGGTAAATGTCTGCAAAAAGAAGAAAATATCCACTTAGTTTAAAATAAAAATAGAATTAACATTATTTCTGATTTCTAAAGCAAGGAAGGTTTTTCATTTGCCCCTTTTTTCTTTTGCCCCTTTTAAAAGTTTCCTGTGAATCTCAATATTATTTTGCTGACATCACCAAGCTGAACAATGATTTAAGAAACACAAATGTTGAAAAATATTGTTCATACCTAAGTTTTCATGGTTATCTGAGCAAGTCTTGATTTTCTTGTTTTTTCTTCTTTTAATTGCCACTGAAGTTGGTGAAATTATAACTGTGAGATGACTTTTAGAATCAAAAACAATTCAGAGTGAATTTCATCCCTGTCTTTCTTCCAGCCAAAACCTTTTCCTTGCCTCACTAGCACATCTTGTCCATCTGTGAAGAAGAAAAGGTAAAAAAACAATTGATTAAATTGAATATGACTAAAATAAAAGAAATAATCTTCATATTAGAGACATCTAGACTAACACACTATAGACATAATTTACCCATATTTTAGTTTGAAGACAAAGTAGCACAAAGTAGTAGAAATATCTCAAGTGAGAGAGGAGCCATCAGCTTTCCTTGGTGTCTCTTTAGGTGTCAGACAAGAGGCTAACACCAGAAAATTATCTTCTGTTTTTTTCAATTACCATATTTCTATACAACATACATATTTCTAGAAAAGCTTTTCTCCTTGCAATTCTATTTTGAAGAAAATATGCATGATATCTGGGTATTTTCTTCCTCACAGATTACACTACAATCTTGATATTGTCAGGTTTTCTCCACTTGTAAAGTCTTCACAGACATACTGGTTTTATCTGCATGAGATATCATAGTCAGTATTTTCACCAAATTACAGAAGAGAATTTCTCTGTTCTTATAAAGTCTAGTTAAAATATATAATTATTATTTTACATCACATTATTCCAATTAAAAAAATAATCTTCAACAAATAAATAATTAATTTATTTTTAAGGTTTTTTTAACCCATAAAAATGTAATTTAGAAGGGAAGGAAAAAAAACCTGCTATCCTAATAAGAAAATAATCTTACAGGTCTAACTGTGTACTTTTCATTACTTTAAGAGACAGAAAATGGGTTAAAGTACATGAGAACAATAAACTGACCTTTTATAGCAACAAATAGAAGTTTATCTCTGCAGAGAATGTTCTCCCTTAATCTTATTTTCAATTCTGACTTAATCAGGGAGTATATCAGTTGTTTCCACGATGAAAAGATACCAGCTTTACACATTGCAATCACATCATGACCTAATCCATCTTATGCAACCATCCCCTAGATGTGCAGAATCCTATATTCCATTATGGAACTTTCTCAGTTCAGAAGACTGAATTTGAAAGAGGGTAAGATGAAAAATACAAATGAGGAGCAAGCCTAACAAGTTTTCAGAATACTGTTTTTTTGTGCGGCTAGATAGATAAAAGCTTGCCTCCCCATAATGTGATATGAAAAGTTTATGACTCTACTTTCACTCGTGACCCAAACAGGGCTCCAGTTACCTCTTAACCTCTTATGGAATTCTGTAGTGCAAGGCTAAGGTCTTGTTCTATTTTCCATACCAGCAATACAATTTTCTAGTTTCCCTTTTAAATTTTAAATATAAACAGCCATTTATATATAAGCAAATGAGAAGGACAGTTTTGGATTTTGAAATACTGTGTGACTACTGAGAATTTGAAAAGTGTTGTTAAAAGGCAGTTAAAAAAATATAAATCTTTGATATTGCTAAATCAATGCTGTGTTTAATTCACATGCAGCATTTTTTAGAGGCTTACACTCAAACAACTCCTTCTCCCCCAAAACAATGACATTAGAGAAATAATCATATATAGAGACATAGGATGACCGCCTTCAGTGGTTGTGAATGATGTTTTCTGGTAAAGGATAATTCAGAAGGAAATTATTTAATTAAGGCTGCATCTGAATCTGAGAGTCTAAGAAAAGTGCTATATGTGCAAAGTCTATGTATTTTTAATAGACTGGTCATTAAAATTTCAAACCTGTTTCATTATTGTGCTGCATGAATGTTGTATCTAAAAACTACTGAGTCTTGCTTAATTGATTACTGTCCAGTAATTGGACCAAATAAGCCTAGTTTCCTTGGCTTTGTTATTTGCCTTGCAGCTGAAAGGGAAAAATTTATTTACATGACTGAAACTGAGACCCTTGAAGAAATCTTCCTCTTTCCAATAACTATGTGGGATTTTACTGAGTGCATTTTTCTTTATATCCACTTAGATGACTAAATGTGGTCTAGTGCAAACCATATCAATATATTTCCCCAAAGTGGATGCAGCTGTGTCAAAGAGCAGCTAATGTCATTTCCAACTGCAGACTGCTTACAGATTCAATGGCATCTTGGAGGTGGGATGGGGGTAAATTTTATTTTGAAGATTCTGACTTCATCTCTTTTCATTTGTCTAAACAAATGAAATGTTTCTTTACAAATCCATTTCTCACATTGAACAAAACTTAATTCTGGTTTTTGTAGCATTAAGCAGAAGCAGAAGGAAATTGCATCCAGGAATTTCTGCTTCATTATGATTAAAACTAAATCAGAGTGTTACAAATAAGTGTTTTCAGTACGCGGACATTTGTATCTCTCTTGATTTTTTTGGGTTTTGTTTGAGGCCTTTGCCACAGCACCTATCACAAAGAAATTTATAATCTCATTCAAGACCTCTATTAATTGTCACTATAACATCATAAGCATTGTTGGAGATTAACATTTTGACTTAGTAAGAAACTCTCTAAGTGCTTGTACATTGCTTAAAGCACTATAGCCAGGATTCCAATTTCTGCTTCTGACTCACTGTAATAGAAGGAACAAGTAATATCTGTTCATGTCACAAAGGCTTGCCATACGGTTTTAACTGCTTCTGCATTTCCTAACCCTGGTTTTCTCCAGAAGTGACAGTGCCTAAATTTTCTCCTGGTGTTAGAAACCTGAACAGAAAAAAAAACATGTCATAAATACCACAGAGCCTGCTTTCTTTACACTATGGCTGTTTTCTTGTGTAACCAGGAAATCTGGATAATTCATAAAATGTAAGCACTGAAGTTTTAGAACCTTATGGTAATTCAGCTACCAAAATCTTTGAAGTTCAGCCATGACTGTTGGGGCTTAAGTCCACAGTCTGTCAAATGCTTGTGTTAGTAAAGAAAAGTCATTAATTACAATGTGTGTATGAGGGGTTTCCAATTAAATCCACTCTGTATTTTTCTACATTAATGGCGTTGACTTTAAAAACTGACTATTCAGCTATGGGCTTGGGTATGGGAGGGGGATTCATCTGAGTCAGATAATAGAAACCAACTGGCTGGACTTAACCTACAGCAGACAGATTTATACATTCCTATCTTCACATTTTTCACATCTAATTACTTTTGAAGTGTCTAATGCATATCTGAAGTGACTTTGGCACTAGAGGTAAGCAACCTGATTTGGTTGACTACATTGATCCTAGATGTAGGTATCAACTGATCAAACTGACAACTATTCAATATATATTTCTTCAGTTTACTTAAAATATTGAACAATATTTCAAAGCCATATTTAAGAATATGAACACTGGAGTTTCACTTGTCTTCTATTAGCTTTAAAACTTTTCAGCAATGTCTAGAGGTACCTATATTTCTAAACTTCAGAGTAATAATTGTGGGATACAGTTACTCCAACTTATTTATGAAGTCTTCTGAATGTAACCTGACAGCCAAGAGAGCAGCAATAAGTGTGCAAAATCATTTCCAAACAAGGAAAGGTCTTTAACTCCTTTCTTTTAGACTAACCTTGTATTTTAGAATTACCTTATCTCACCTTGTCAAATATTGACTGTAAGAAAATTTTTGTCTTTATTTCTCTATATTGGAACTGAACCTCTTTAGCTAGAACATAATAAATATATGTTAGCTGTACAATTAAAAATAGTAATATAATCCTGCAGCAAATGAGAATCCTGGCAACAAGGGAACTGAAAAGTGGAGACAGTTCACTTAGAGAATAGAGAACTTGTAAACAAGAAAGTTATTTGTTAACTGACTCAAGATCTTTGATAATAGTTTAGTGTAGATTGTGATTTGGATTGCACACAGAGTTCACTGAAAACACTTTAAGTCTGTGGTGATTTGACCCTGTTTGCATGCCAGCTGCCCACCAAAGGTGCTCTAACATGCCCCTCCTCATCTAAACAGAGGAAAGAAAATATAAATAAAGGCTCATGGTTTGAGACAAGGGTAGAGAGAGATCACTCACTAATTATCAATCACCAATAAACTTAAAGACTTACCTCAGAGAAACTAGTTCAATATATTTATCACAAAATCAAAGCAGGATAACAAAAAATAGAAAACAAATAATAAAAAACCACCACATTCTCACAAGTCCTGCCAGAAAACCTTCTACAGAGTGGACTCCTCTCCGCAAGAGGCCAAGGTTCTGCCAGGAGTCTGCTCCAGCAGAGTCTTCCCATGGATCACAGCCTGCTTTGGGCATCCATCTGCTCTGGTCTGTGGTCCTGCATGGACTGCAGGTGGATATCTGTTTCCCTATGACTTCCATGGGCTGCACGGGACAGCTTTCTTCATCATGGTCTTTGCCACAGGCTTCAGGGGAATCTCAGGTACAGTTCCTGGAGCACCTCCTGCTTCTCTTTATGCACTGACCTTGGAGTCTGCAAGATTGTTTCTCTCTCATAGTCTCTCCTCTTTCCTCTGACTGAAATTGCCCCTGCACAGTGACTTCTTTCGCATTTTTAAATCTGCAATGCTGGGGGCACTACCAGCACTGCTGATGGGCTCGTCCTTTGCTAGCAGTGAGTCTGTCTTGGTGCTGGTTGGCATTGGCTCTGTGGGGCACAGGGGAAGCTTTCTAGGAGTTTCTGATAGGAGCCACCCTTGTAGTCCCTCACTACTGAAACCTTGTACTTAAAACCAATACAATGAGGTTAATAATAGCAGCATTTTTCTATGACATATAATTGTGTGGATAAGATGTAAAGAGCTTAATTATTGATTAACCTATTTTTTTTTAATTAGGCTGTTTTGTTTAATTTTGTTCTGTCATTTTTTTCCTCCTTTTTTGAGGGAAAAAATGACCGCCTTGGAGTTATTTTTAGACTCTTTGATTCCCAAGTAGGAAGAAGGATTGTAAGACATAGACAAATTATTTGAGTCCTAGCTTTTAGAATGCATTTCTAATCTGTAGGATCGATTGCATTAAACAATAACACATTTACATTGATGAGGACATGTATGAGGCCACAAGAATCCGGGTGTCTGAATTTGATCCTATCTTTTACATTTTTTCCTGTTATTCTGTGTCTTGTGTGTATGAATGGAAATAAATGGCTAAAATGGAGATGAAAGCTAGAATCTTAAAAAAACCACAGGGATCTCATTCTCTTTTAACTCCTCCAACACTGTAGAGGCTGTTACCATGCTCATCCTTATTGTAATATTTGCAAATGGCTAATTTGTTGTTGCAACTATTTGTGCTTGACAGATAACAATCAAATAGTATGCAGTTTTTTATCCATTGGTATTTTTCTTCAGGCTCCCTATGAACTTCAGATAAAAGAGTATTTTTTCACTCTCACAAAAAATGGTAGAAACTCACACTGTGCTTATAGATAACAAACACTAATATTTTTTAAAACAGTACATGAGAAATTGTCTTTCTGCACTTCTGTTTCAGTCAATGCATTATAAAAGGTCTCAGAACTCATCTTAAAGAAAATGTGCTGCAGACTGAGTCTCTAGCCACAAAGCTGTAAAAAAATTCACCAAAACAAAAATTTTTTTAGTCATCACAAAACTGAGTATGGTATGAGCTTGTCTGATCCTATGTAAGCATCATGTTTGACTTTGAAATATCACGCCATAAAACGAGAACTTAGACTGTATGTCTTTCTGAAAGAAGTTCTGTCTGTAAGCATAGAAAATTGTTGATTTTCTTTCCACAGTTAGTTGATAGCTACACAAATTTTAGTTTTTTTAGTATAGCCTTTTCATTATTGAAATTAAGTGTGTTTAAAAAGGAGGAGGGCTTTAGTCTTTCCTTATAGGATCAATCGGAATTGTTTTGCTCTCAGTTGAGATATTTTCTGATTTTCAAAAATGTATTTTACTGTTCCTTTTCTGAGTTTTTCAGGGATTTTAAAAGCAATTTATTTACTTCTTGCAAAGACAAATAATGCTTGGAATCCAGAAACTCAGTTATATATGAAAAACAAAAACTAGTCATCTGTCCATTTTTCTTCCCTAAAAATCTTATCCTAAAAAAAATGTA